TCCTTTGACTGAAAATAAGAACAGTTCTTTGTGATTGGGTTCAACTACAAAGGAAAGCAAAGTGATCTCCACTCCAGAATGTACCTAGGTACTCGGTGATGTACTCGGAGAATCTGTGGAATCAAAGTGACTGCAGAACAGGCCATGAAAGTGTTAGATAAAATGAACTGGAACGACTTGCCAACATTAGTTGTTATTCATGAAGATTTCAAGGGGCTAAAAGATACAAGGGATTATATCAACTTCCTCATGCAATCTCCTGCTTAAAACTAGATCGACAGTTGAGGTATGAAGGTTGCCCAACACTTGTACATGGCAAAACAATAAAAAAAGTTAGGAAGAAGTAGTGGAGACCTGAATAAATATGACATTGACAAAGACTCAACATAATGTTTGTTAAAGGAATTCCTGCCTCACAAAACAACCAGATTTCTCTGTGGACATCACTGATCACATGGATAAGAAGGCACTCTGCTGAAAGAAAACTAGGAAATAAAGTGCATACTATTTCAAAGGACACTAAGCAAGTCTATGAAAGAAACAGAAGCCCTTTTGTATGAGTATTTTACCTATTAGGAGACAGCAAGATGAAAAGACGAAGGATAACAGAAAATAAATGATTGCATACTTTAATAGAGACAGGTGACCAATGGACTTACACAGAAACCTGCACTGCAACATGGATTATTACAGGTAATCATAAAGAGGGAGGAGAGATAAGCAAACTTCCTGTCAGATCATCTTTTCAGCTTGTGCCTCTGTCTATCAACCCTGTCCTCCACAGTATCAGACACTCCCCAGCTCACTGTGTGGGAGTTCACATGCCTGTTGAACATGCTGGCCCATCACCCCACCATTCAGATCACTAATAAAGATGGTAAACAGTACTGTCCCCCATATCAGTCCCTGATTAATTGACCAGAAAAAAACACAGAGAAAAGGTTACAGATTATCTACAGACCTCTAGTTCGATGCACAATGGCTATTGTAAAGTTATATCTTCAGTCTGAAAACTGCCTCAGTGAGCTTTCCACATAAGTAGGAAAACATCAGCTGTCGGTCCTTTGGGCTCTAATAATTAACTCCAGAAACTTCTGGAAAAACAGAATACTGACAGAATATTATGCAATGTTATATAACGTTTACTGAAATAGGAATTTTTTTTAGCTAGCTTCAGAGAAAGCAAGGAAACAATACCATAGTAAAGAACAGGTTTGTTTTATCCATGTCAAGGCATGTACCATGTACTGTTAACTTATGTAGAATCTAAGAATGACAACAACAAAATTCAGAAGCATTGGTACCATGGGCTTTTTGTACTTAAAATAAACAAAAGTTTAAAAGCTTTTACTATATAAATCAAGTCAATTCCAAAACCTTGGTATAGGACAGGATGTCCTATACCAAGAAAACTGGGAAAACATGTTCAGTAACATATGGGCACACAGTCATTCTCCAAAGTGCCTATGACAAAATGGGATTTCTGAAGGTTGAGCAGCTGACTGTAATCATATAGGTCTGCCCTCTTGTTGCTGGAGGATAGGTCACCTTCAGCTATGAAAACTGACTTTCTTCTTTTGGGAATACAGAAGCATAGAATGATTTGGGACAGAAGGGACTTTAAAAGTCATCTAGTTCCACCCACACCCTGCCAAGGGCAGGGTCACCTTCCACTAGACCAGGTTGCTCAGAGCCCCAGCCAACCTGGCCTTGGACACTTCCAGGGATGGGGCATCCACAGCTTCTCTGGGCAACCTGTTCCAGTGTCCCACCACCCTCATAGAGAAGAATTTCTTCCCCACATCTAATCTAAACATATCTTCTTTCAGCTTAAAGCCATTCCTCCATGTCCTATTACTTCATGCCTTTGAAAAAAGTACCTCTCTAGCTTTCTTGTAGGTCCTTCTTAGGTACCAGAAGGCTGCTACAAGTCTCTGCAGAGTCTTCTCTTCTCCAGACAGACAAGAGCTCAAAGCTTTCTTCCTTTTCCCAAGCATCTGATTGTGAAGGTTGACAAAATCCTATTCTGCAGTTTCCCAAAATGCTTCCTTAGAACAGACCTAGGCAGACAAACTCCTACAGCTGTGAAGATACCCAACTGCTGCTAGACCAGCACCCAGGTGCATAAGGACAGCTGCGGAAGTCACTGGTGGAACCACATCCTGGAAAGTGCTTTTTCCCTGCCTTTGCCTTTCCTCAACTGCTTAAACGACTTGTTATTAAATGAGTCAGCACTGACCACTTCAAACACCCTTCCTGACTTGTGTTGCCAAAAACTTTCCATAAAAAAACCATAAAATCCAAAATAATTAGCCTGGAAATGGGTAGCAGCAGTGAAGGAAATGTCTAGATTTTTGAAGAATGCCATACTATTTATGCATGGAACACTGAACTAAAGACACCTATCTGCGAGAAGAAAATTCTACTTATTTTAAAGAAAATTGTGGTGTTTGACCCCAGAAGCCATATTTTCTGAACTGCATGCCACATGCTTTGCAAAATACTGTACAATGATTACTTTCATGGTACAGCTATGTAGATAGTGAAGAAGAGGTGTTAGCAAATATGCTTAATACCATGGCTTAAATCTGTCACCTTCTTTTGTCATTTGTGGCACTTCTAGAAATGGGCCGCATCAGGGTCTGAACAGACTCCAAAGGTAATTTCTCCTGGTGAAAAAATAGGAATTTTATACCATTGCTGGTAGCAAATATACTCTGTTACGACATAGTCTATAACGAAAAAAAAAAATGCAGCTGCAAAGTAGAATTAAAAAAAAAAAATCAAACAAAACAACCCTTGCATTTGCCAAGAACAAGTGGTCAAACCCATGTTTACAATATTAAAATCGGGACGATGTACTTGACAGTACATGAATTTAATAAGTATCAATGCAGCTTTTATTTTTTTCCTTAAAGAAAAGAGTTAGCTCCTCATGAGAGACTGAATGCGCGTTTGTCAGACAGGGCACCTTTTGTTTCCTCTTTGCTTAAAATAAGTATTGAAAAGCAGTAGCAACATTCTATTTTTTTCAATAGTATACAAGTATCACACTTCTCAGCTTTTAACAAAATGCTAAACTGTGAAGTTAATTTCACAGCAAGAATAAAGCCCTTTGCAAGTCAATTTCCACATGCAAAAAAACAAAGTCCTTAAGGTTACTGCCATACAGAGCTTATGCAGAATCTAAAAACAAATTCTGAGATTGTATAAACACCATTTTGCATAAATTTCCAAACAAAGCCAGCCAGTGAGATCTCTACTAAACAATCTAGATGAAACAATACAGACAGAACTGATAAACCACTACAGTAAGTGTGGCATTTTAGGAATCAAGTGTAGGGAGCTACTGCTGACACCATCAGCAACTTCAGCCTGGATCTGAACAGAGCTCGGTGCTCATGCTTCAAGGGAACACGATTGTCTGGAATCCTTTAATAGGAGTGTCCACAAATACTCAGACAACTTTCACTGCATACAGGGGAAGTGAAAGCTCCTTATCCCCTCTGGAAGATGCTGTCACGGGTTTCGTGGCCAATGAAAAATTATACATGCCATATTACATGTCCAACAAACCCACAGAGAAGATCTATTATTGTTATTAAAGAGTATTCCAGAGAAATAAGAATGTGCAGATCTTCACTTAAATCTGTTAAAGTAAGAATTTAACATTTGCAACTAAATTCAGCTTTTGCAATTGGAGGTGTTTCTGATTGCTCTTAAGCTTCCTATAAGAGGTCTCCATATTTATTTAACTTTACCTTGGAACAAGTGGTTCAGGCTTTGCGGAACTGACTGTGATTTCTCCAAACAGAAAAATAAATATACATTACCATGATAAGTACAGAAACACAATTACCAATCACAAACCCTTCCTGCAGCCCAGCTGTACAAATGCAAAAGAAGGCTTACCACAATTTGTTTCCAGATGGGCTATGATGGTATAAACACAACGCGACCTCACCAGGACTACTTATCTTTGTAGAGTTGTTATATATTGCCTAGGGATTTTGTACAGATAGCTTTTTACTAGTTAACTTTAATGATCAATGCCTAAAGCACAAAAACTCCATACAGCAAACACTGTGCTGTTTTCATACGTTATTTTTCAAGAAAGAAAATTTTATGGAGTATGTCAAACGCTAATTTCGTAACTAAATATTGCCAAACACCGACTTTGTAACTAAAAAACCCAACAAAAACCGCACCAACGTAGAAGTGGCTGGCATACAATTACTTAGCAGACCGCTGGCAAGCGCGATTTTTTTTTTTTTTTTGGGGGGGGGGGGTCATTTAGCACTGTGAGGGAGACGTTAAAAGGTCACCCAGACATAGTCTGCATATTACTGAACTTCTTAAAAATCGGCCGCTACTCCGCGACGCGGTAAGAGCTCCAATCCACGCAACGCTCGAGCCAGACCGCGAAAACACAAAGCTCCGCCGAAGCCCCTGGAAGACGAGCGCTCTCGCCAGCGCCAAGCTCCGGGGAAAGGAGCGCGCTCCCACGCGGACAGCCGCCAGGCGGGAGGCTCGGGAAGCCGGGAGCACCCGGGCGGCGGGGCAGTCCCTCCGCCCGCCACCCACCGCGGCGTCCCGGGGCTCGCCCCGCCGGCGGCACCGCAGCGCCCGGCGTTACGCAACGCTCCCCGCGACCTTGCGGGGAACTCCGGAGTCTGTCTGGGGACGGACGTGCGAGCGGCATCACCCGCACGGCCCCGCTCCGCCAGCCGCCCACAGCCGCCGGGACCCCGGGACGGGCGGGAGGGAGGGAGGGAGAGCGGTTCAGAGCAGCCACCCCCTCCCGCGCCGCCGGACACAGAGGGGCTCCGGAGCGCCGCGACCCGAGCGCGCAAACTTCGGCGGCGGCGGCCGAGCCCCGTCCCGGGCGGGCGGCGGGAGGCGGACAGAGCCTCCCGGCGGGACCCAGCGCTGCTGCCCGCTCCTCGGGGGCCGCGGGGCGGGGGATGGGGGGTGCAGGTGTCTGGCGGCGGCATTCCTACCTGCGACACCAGCGGCACCAGCGTCTGCTCCACGGAGCGCGTGCGGATCTCCAGCCCCGCGTCCGCGCCCAGTCCCGACGAGGACGACGAGGAGACGCCGCTGCTGCTGCACGGGGACGTGGCCATAGCGGGGGAGCCGGGCCGGGACCCCCGCCCGCCGCCGCCACACGCGCTCCCGCACGGCCGACCTGTCTCCCGCCTCTCCCCTCCGCGCCCCTCCGCGCCGCTCCGCCCCCGCCTCTCCTGTTCCCTGCCCGCCCGCCGGGGCGCCGGGAGATGCCGCGCGCGCGCGCTCAGCACACCCCCCCCCGCCCCACTCCCCCCTTGGCGGCCCCTTCCACGCCCCTCGGGACGGGATGGATTTAAAGAGGCAGCTCCTACTTCTGCTCTTCCCACCCCGCCACGGAGCCGGATCCCGGTGGTTGCCGCCTACCCCCGTGCCCCTCCTTTCCCACGCCCGTAGCCCGCCCCCCGCCCCACCTCGCAGCCGGCGGAGGAGGGAAAAACGGGAGTGGTCCCGTCACCGCGGCTGCCAGCGGGAGTTTCCCCGCCAGTCTCGCCCGGGGCAGGCCGGCGGGTGCAAGCGGAGGGTCCGTGCCCGAGTGGAAAAAGCGGACCGGGCAGTGGTTGAGGGGCTCGGGTGGCTCCAAGGAGGCGGGAGTCCGGGCCGGTCACCCGGGGAGCGACGGGGCTTGCAGCGGCTCCGGCTGGCGCGAACCCCGGGAAGGGTGGTCCCGGCCGGGAAGTGAGGGGCGCCGGTATGGGGGCCAGGGAGAGGCAGCCGGAGAGCCGCTCTCTCTTTGGGCAGGGCTGCAGTCACGGTTCGCGTACTTCGTAGCATGGGGGGAGGGGGCCTGATGGGTGTCTCGAACTAAACGCCATCAGCTCTTCTTAGCAGCCTTAGCAGCAGGGCGAAAGGGCAAAAGGCTTCTCCTGGCTTTGGGTGATTTGTATTCCATACCTGGCACACGGGCTGCTCTCAGAGAATCGCTGTCATGGGTATCGAGGTTTGCCCAGCCCTGATGCTAAAGCAGAGCACCTATGACTGATATAGCAAGAAGGCGGCAAAAGTAATTCAAAAGAATAAAAATGGTTTGGTTTGTGTTGTGAGTTGGGGAATTTTTGTTGTTCTGGTTTGGCATGGGCTAAACTCATTTCTTCACGTTACTTAGTACCCTGTATCTGCAAAGCAGCAGGACGTGGATGCTTTCAGGTCTGATTTGGCTGCATATATTTGGTATGGCTGGCTCTTCTACAGGCTTGTCTGCACAAAATCGTGGAAAGGGAATGGAGCTCTTCTGGCTGTGATCCAAACCACCAAGGTGTGAAACAGATCCAGCTCAACACTGGGGTCACTTGGTGCAGTGCTGTGTATGAGAGAGCAAGCCCTGTGTAGGGTCTGGGACAGTAAATCACTTTAACTTAACTACTTAGTTTCCTGGTCAGAACTGAGGATTTGTATTTGACTGCTCAGCTCTAGCACAACACAACGATATAGTGGTGTCTTTGGCTTTTTTGAGTTTTCAATCAAGGACTTTGTAACATTTTGTGTCTTCGGAAAGATTTCTGACCCTCTTTGCACAAAGCATCTTATCCACAATTTTGAAACATAGACATAAGATAAAGGACAATATTTGTTGTCCTTTGGAGTCCTATGGAGTTATCCATATTTATTAAAAAAGAAAATTGCCAGAGCTGCAAGTATAACCCTAGATAACAATATGACCCTATTCCTAGCTCTTCAGGAAATTGGTTTCCAACATGGTCTCATATTTTCTAAAATGACATCTTATATAACATCAAGTGTTACAGGAGAGAACTGAAGGCTTCAACCTGCCATGGCACAAAAATATCTGAATGATGATGTAGACTTGAAATAAATGCTAGTCTTGGTTGATCAAAGGGGTTTAAAGCACACTTGAGATTTTTTTTTTCTCCTGAACTTTTCATTTTCATGCAACATCTTTCATTCTTTTTCAGGTAATTTGTTTTTCTTTTACTTCTCAATACCCAAATTCTAAGCCTTGCCAACAATTGTTGTTTTCTTATATCTTTTGGTAGAATACTGAAGGCAGGGGTGGTTGGAGCCTCTCCAGGACTTGAACTGGTACTGGAGACTTCTGGATCAAATGAGCTGAAGCATCCACCAGACAAAGTGTCCGTAATACCAGACAGAAGTGCATTCCTTTGCCTCCTTCCCCCTGTTATTCCCACTCATTGACTATTTTATGAATATCGCTGTAATACAAATTAACTACGTCATCAACATCTACAGATACAAATCTACAATTCACATCAGACATTAACTAGAAGCACATGCACACTTGAATGCACAATGTGGTTTATAATTTGACAATTTGTGTCACTTAATTTCAAAGACAGCTGCCTGTCATCTTCAACACAGTAACAGATCAGACGCCCCAAGAATAATGTTCTCTGATTGAAAGCTGAGTTAGTAGCAGAAGTTAATGATTAATTTTAAAGATTGTAGCTTCTCTTTGAAAAAGAAGGCAAGTTTAGGATAAAAGATACTGGCAAAAAATAGTTTAAAAATAATTTCCTACAATTATTGGACAAACAGTGGGAACTTTGAAATACCTTTCTGCAGATAGAAGTCCTGTTCCTAATCTACCACTCTCTTTTGCTGCTTCCATTTTGTTTTCACTAGAGAAGCAGCATTAGTGGGTGGTACTAGAGACAACACTGTCTAGTTCTCCCACTTCTCTTCCTAAGGTGCTTCCAGTTTAAACATGGAAACCACATGCTCTGCTTCTGAAATCCTGTGCTAGGCAAACAATGCACGTTGTGATGTTTTTAATAGAACACGATTCAAAGCTCTAGCATGCTGCAGACTAATGTCTTTGAAGACACCTTGAGGAGATCTTCAAACATCGTAGCCTGGAGCTTAATTGTGCTTTTTAATTATGTTAAGACAATTTGAATGAGGCAGAGTGATAGATTGCAACCACACCTTTGGCATGCCAACACATACCTCTGACGGAGCACACTGTGCAATGCATAGCACTAGACTGTTTTGCATACAATCATCTTCAGCCCATGTGATGGATTCAGGAAAGCAATGAATGCCCCTCATGCCTGTAAAATGTTAGGACCATCCACTGGCCATGGCAGTCTTGAGTTGCCATTTGAGTTATCACTGTTAACTCTGTTTTGAATCTGAAAAGCATCTGAAACATTAAGATAGAGGAGAAGAGTAATGCCTAATGGACTATATTTCTAACTTCATGATTTTGCCACTGCTCAAGGAGAAGGAAGGGATTCATATCCTCATAACATTATCAACGTGTTACACTCTCCCTCCTTGTATTGTTTCCAGACTTCACTCGAGGAGGTGACACCTGTTCCTCTGCCCACGATCCCCAACAAGCTTGGGTTCTGTGACTAGTGGCAGGTTCTCACACACAAGGTAAACCAGTTTACCCTGTTCTAGCTCTTCATCTTTATTGTTCCTATCTGAAGCATCTTTTATAGGAGATAACATTACTACCCAGAATGGTGCTGTGCCAAAGTTCTCAGACAACAGTGATGACCCCCAGACCTGGACAATCATAGAATCATAGAATAGATTGGGTTGGAAAAGACCTCCAAGATCATCAAGTCCAACCCCTGATCCAACTCCAATTACTATATCATGGCACTAAGGGCCACATCCAATCTCTGCAATGACAATGACAATGACAATGCTCCTGAGCATGATGGCTGTTTTGAACCTTTATGCTTAGCTAGGCCTCTGACCATGGATGCTGGTCTCTTAGCTTTGATAGGAATTATATGAGATGTACTAATGGGTGTACTAAGCACATCTCATATTACTTGTGCCATGGCTTGTTTGAAGAGGCTGTCAGTCAGCCTCAGCTTGATGGAGTAGCTGGCACCTGCTCTTACCTTCTAGCTAAGATGTGTGTGTTCTCTGGTCTGTTTAAAGCAAAATGAGGTGGGTAACACTTAGTTTTATATTATGCTTTTGTTAATCTGGACATTTTGACCATAGTAAGGTCAGTTGAGAGGACAGAAACCTCTTCCACGTGAAGAAACCTTCCTTAGGAAACAGGTTTTATAGTTGTTCTGTATGTGCTGTTGAGGCACATGCAGGAAAGCAGATGCCATTTAGACAGTCAAGACAGGATTGAACTTGTGAACTTTGAAGAGGAGCCTAGCAGTTTCTGTCCACAAGGAGCAGTTGGTCTATGAAGCGCAAACTGCAGGAAGAACGAGGAAATACTGGTAAAGGCCAGCTGATGGGATCAGAGGGCTTTTCAGTAAATTTTGATAATGAGCACTTTTCTACACATGTTAATAATGAATAAGGCATAGTAATTAGATAAATTAATAAAACTTTGAGGTTGAATTCCAAGGAGTAATTGCTCTTTATCCTCCCATAGAGAACAACCCAAATATCCAGGGTTGAGAGGAAGCGGTGCCTCCATTGCTTCCTTATCTCCCAGCTGCAGTCTGGAAAGTGGAGCTGAGTGAGCTAAGTGTCAGATTGCTTTCTTTCTCTTTTCTCCAGGTAAGATTAAAGTTATAGCAGTGTGGGAGGGGAAAGCACATCAATCTTCTTTCCAGATGAAATTTACAAATCCACTTTAATCTTAAGCTTTTCCCTTGATTGCTTCTGGTTTCCTCCAAAACTTGACAAAGTCATATTTCTTTGTGTTTCAGTGGGGATGTTTTGCAGGCAACTTGTGAAATTAGTAATTTTAAAGACAGCTAAAAATTTTAGGCTTTTGGGGAAAGTCAAAAGATGGGAGACAAGCTTTGCGTGAAATGTCTAATCCTGATTATTAGTGGTTATTAACTCTTCTTTATAAACATTACACTTCTTTATAAAATCAATCAATCTTTTATGTTTACTTCCTGCCATACAGTAAAATACTTTACAAAGACTACATTAGGTTTTTTTGCATGGAGAGCATTTTATGTGACTATACACTGACTTTTTTTTTTGCCATTTTTTTGAATTTACTAGTTTCACAGTGGGATTACAATAATTATTACAGAAACTATGAAGAAGAGGGGATATAAAAGTAGTGTATAGACATATCAGAAGGACTACAAGCTCGTGTCTGTTCTTATTCTGAGTGTTTATCCAGAATGCCTGCATGTCCCCGCAGCCAGAGGGCGATTTCAAGCACTGGCTCCCTTTTTGTTTATGAAGTGGTAGCTGTTAAA